ATGAGAGATAATCGTGTGATGTCCTGTGATCCGTTCAACTTGATGGAGAGTACTTGTCCGAATGGATACTTTTGCCAGTGGTCATTGCCAAAACAACGTTATCAGTGCTGTGGTGAGATACCGTCGCTTGCTTATAAAAGTACTAAAAGTAAGTTACTATTTATGTTCTCTCTAAACAATCAAGTATTCTTGTAAACAATTTTACATAATTTATGATGATGCGGAAAAATCAATGCTTAAAAAGATATGAGATTTGATCGCCGTTAATGAAGTAATTAATGACTGCAATCATTTTCTACAAGCATTGTATGTGATATGAAGAAGAGTTATTGTGTGAGATGGGCACTGGGATTAGATACTCGAATATTCATCAGAGTAATTAAATATTTAAATTTTATAATTCCCTATATAAGAAATAATTAAAATTATATAACAGTTGAAATTTACTGCAAAGTTACTTCAAGATCTGACATTGAGTCGATTAATTGAAAGAGAAATCGAGTTGGAATTGTTGTCATTTTTAGTGGCTTCGTTTGGCTGTCCTCATAATCAGGTGGCATATAGAGATGAAGCAACAAATGAGCCAAAAGTATGTGCGGTTGTGGCACAGAATTGCCCAATCGGATATTTTTGTCAGTTTTCCAATTCCAATAATCAGTTCCAATGCTGCGGGATCAGCAATGGTTGCCCAAATGAGCGGGTTTGCTTGCTTTTTTGCTTTCCTTTTTGTATTTTCGAAATTTTCGGATATTTCCAACAATGTTTTTTAAAATTCTGACATGATTTTTATTTTTAAAAGACTTTTCAAATTTTAACAGACTTGCAATATTCATTTATTGCTTGTAATCACATTTATTTTTTCATTATTTCATCAATCATGCATATTAGTTATAAATTTGGTACAAACTATTTTTCCCAATTGGAGTTGGATTTAACATAGTTATATAATTCTATTTTTTGTAGAGAATCGTATTCTTACTTTACAACCAAATTTAATAAAACAATCGAGTTATAAATTTCACAAAATTAGTAAAAGTTTTTATAGGTCTCTTCATAAACTTTGAGTGGTCTTTTCAAGTGTTTAATAATCAATACAGACACAGTCTTTGAAGGTGGCATTCATTAGAGTAAATGGTGAAGTACAGAACTGTACGCCTGGTCAAACTGTTTGTCCAAATGGATATTCATGCCAAGAAACTTCAAATGGAACTCATTTGTGCTGTACAAGTGGATCAAACGAAAGTATGCGCACTTATTATGTAATCATTGATTTTAATTTACATTTATGAAGATTATTAATTTGAATCATTAATTTCAATAATCCGATATAATATTTATACTGATATGACCAGATTAAAATTTGAAATCAGATTAAGTCATTTTTTCTCCATCCTATGAGATGAAATCTGAATTTAAAACTTCACTTGTGCTGTGAAATAAACCGACATGCTTGTTCAGAATTATCATTAGTTGTTGCAGCAATTTGTACCATCGACCAAGTATTGATCGGTAGTTCGTGCGTGGATAAAGTTGAAATCGGAAAGCCATGTAGGAATTCGAAGCAGTGTCTGGGTAGATCCAGTTGCATTGATGGTTCTTGCAAATGTCCGGCTGAAATGACAAATGAGGCCGGCTTATGCAAACAAGGATAGCTTATTTTACTTATGAATAAACAACTATTTTTATCTACATGACAGAGCTTTACTCAGTTGATCAAAGGCGCATTTCTGATTCTTTTAGAGTATGAAAATTACTAACTTTTTTGTAAGACATTTTGTTGCAGGAAGTTAGTGAGCAGAAGTCAAATTTATATCAAATAATGTGAATAATACGTGATTTAATTGCCAAAACAAAATAAGTCAAAGTTTCAAAAAAAATAATATTATAATTGGAGTGTAAAAAAAATAAAATTATGATTGGAATGTAAAAGAAGTTTTAATAGCATTAAAAAGAGATAGATATACAAACTTTTTGTTAAAATGAGAGAATTAAGATGATATAAATTCTCGCAAAGATGATGAAATTAAATGCTTTTGGATTTTCAGCCTGTCCAGAAGGCGAAATACTAATAGCAGATGAATGTCTAGAACAAGCTAAACCGGGCGATCTTTGCGTCGACGACAAACAGTGTTTAGGTAGTTCAATATGTAAAGAAGGCGTTTGTGAATGCCTCATTGGGCGTGTCTTGTACCGTGGCAAATGTGTGAAAGAATCAAAAGTTGCTATAAAATGTTCGATTTCGAGCCAAGTACCATATCTTGAAAAGGGATCGGGCAAGGTTATTTCCTTTGCTTTCTTAATTTTTAGTTCTAACAATGATTGCTTGCTCAAAAAATTTCCTTAGATTGGTCCATTACCTTCGACAGTAGTAAGTTAGCGAAGGAATGCTGATCAGTAAAAAATATTTCAATTAATTAATATACCAAATGGCTTTGTTTTGCTAAATAAAACTTCGAATGACATTTCTGGAAAAAATTTTTTGCTTTTCAAAAAACAGATTGAATTTATAATTCAATGAATTTATATTTCAAAGCATCCAAATATAGTTCACTAGTGAATAAGTATTTAATGACATATGTGTTATGAAATATGTTATGGACTAGCAATTTTTCATAGTTTCATTATTTTTTCCTAATTTTCAGGTGCGATATTGTTCTGCCTCAAAGAATACTTGTCCAAAAGGATACAGTTGTCAGTACAGTCGCGATGCTGAACGAAATATCTGTTGTGGTTATTCAAATACCAGTGTTGTTGCTAGAAGCAGCAATGGTAAAACAACAAATGCTCGCAAGCAGCCAAAGGTTGCTATCAAGACTTGCGACAACGGTACTCCGTATATCTTGAAAGGGATACCGCAAGCTTGTACCTCAGCACCTTGTCCGATTGGTTTCGACTGTACTTTCTCCAAGAAAGCCCAAAATTACTTCTGTTGCAACATGAAAGCCAGAGATGGTATATTAATTAATAATTACCAACAAAATCTACATGTTATGTCATGCTTTTTCTATCAGTCATAAAAAACACTCGTCAAGCGGCAATTAAATAAAATTGTTGAATTAGGTGAATTTTCAAATTTAAATGGAATCTATTAAAAATTTCTAAATATTAATTTAAATCACAACATTACAGGTGTGCGTGATGATGGCTGCCCTTCCGGAACAGCACTTCTTTTTCCAGCAACTGGAACACCGTTGCAATGCAATAATGGAAAGAAAAGTTTGTGTCCTAGTGGTTACCGCTGTCTTAGAACTACCAAAAATAACGGATATCAGTGTTGTACTTCACCTAATTTTCATTCACTGAAGGATGAATTTGCAGTTTATAATCTTTTTTCAAGTAACATTTTCCTAGCATATAATTTTGCTATCATTTTATAGAATATGGTTTTCTGAGGAATATCAATCGCTTATTTTAATGAATTTGAAGAAAAGTTTAAAAGATTTTCATTGTTCGTAGAAAATTTGCATGAGATTAAGATCAAGGCCTCGTTTGCTGAGCAAAATAAAATGAACTATATGAGGCACAATATTATCCGCAAATAATGCTAGAGCATATCACACGAATGTATAATAACGCCATTTTATAGGAAGTAAAAATAAGCTGATTAATAAGTAACTGAAACTAAAAACTAATGAATACTTTAAATCTTATTTTTAGGATTCTACGAAACCTCGAATGCGGTACCTTGTTTAGGAAATCAAGTTAAGGTAAGGCAGTACGTGAACGGCCAATATTTCAACCGTTGTGAAGACCGTTGCCCAGCTTTTCAAATTGCAGTTAATGGTTTCTGTATGAATCAAATCGAATTCCCCACAAGTGTTGTAGGGTGAAGGAAATTTAAGTATGTGCCCGGCCGTTCTTTGTCATCATCATTCACAAGCATTCCAATTCTTAATTTAATAACAATTGACATTTCTAATTCTTCAAAGTCTTATTCGTATTTAAACAAAAGAATATAGGGTTCCTTGAAGAGTGATTCACCGACTTTATGCTTATATTTTTGATTCATGGACTTCCTTGAAATTTAATATATGATCTCGACATGATCTCCAGTCTGTGTCACTACCAATCAATAAAAACTTGATGGTATTGCAATTATTCACCACACGCAGCCTTTTGTTATTTGTTGATTTATTTTTTCTTTTTTTTGAAATACATTTTTAAAAGCCATTGAAGAATAGTGAAATCACGATTCAAAATATGAAGAAATCCAAGCTTGATTAGCAGAATTCTTGCTGTTTGAAGAAGTAAAAGAGCATTTGTTCACGAACATAGAAATTTGTTTATGACAATTTTAGCGAAATTGAACTTTTTGGATTTCAGAATAGTCAAAGTTAAGAAATTCTTCATCAACAATTGTCAAATATTGTTTGTTTGTCGAGTTTACATTAAATTAATGTGCACAATCAATAACTGCAAAAACACTCGTTGGCGACCTTGGCAGCAATGTCTACAGAAATAATGCTCCAGTTATTGCGCAAATGTTTAGCGCGTTTAGAATATTTTATGCGTCTATGATTTTTTATGTGCCTCGGTTCTTCATCTAATCACAGTTAAATGCAGTCATTTTCGAGTCCTGACGTCGCAATCTTGACTATTTGACTCATCATTTCGAATTTCAAATAAGAAACGGGACAAGTTTGTTGCAAGAGCAGTATCTGTGAAAGATAGAAAAAATTAAAGGCTCATACAGAACAAAATCCCAAGAATAATGCTCATAAATAGTACATAAGTATGAAAATATATACAAACATAAGATTAGAACATAAGATTAACATAGCCATTATGGTGTAGAATTATAAGGCCATCATCCTCATATCTGTTTCAGTCTCTCGTAGTCTTACATTCTCTTCCAAATCTCACTAGGAACATTTGATAATTCTTCCCGTGTTTGACACTGTATTTTTTTAATGTTAAAATAAATAATCTATTGCAATTTCTTTACGTGATGGTCTTCCTTAAGCATTCTCAAAGTTTGTGGATATGTTTGTTTTAAATATCTCATTCGATAAAAAACACAATTAAGAATGACGTACCTATAGCATTAATTTGATGAGAACCATGCTTTCACTTTAATTTACTTTAAAAGACTTTGCATTTTTTCGAGTATACATGCGACGTTTTTGCATATACGGTAGCTAAATTAGAGTAGTACCACTGCAGCTGTTGATAACTGTGTGTATTCCAACAACATGTTAATGATGCTCCAACAACCACTACAGAATAATATAAAATTAGATGACTGCCATCAAAAGATGATAACCAACAATCTCATTGTCCCTCTTTATTTAGCTCGATTACTCTTTGATTTAAATCTCGGTTGAAATCTTTTGAATTAAGTCTCAGCACAATATCAAAAAACAAAAGGAATGTTAGATATTTAATTATCAATTACCATCATTGTCCACTGTTACTTCCAAACGAGAAATAATTTCAAGGATATGTTGCGCTCCAATTGATGATGTATATTCATGAAATTTGCTGCACTGCGAAGTAACGACGAAACCGATTTTTTGGAAAAGTTTCAAGCTACTAACATTATCCTTTGAAATCTTAACTTCGAAAGCCCGTAATCCGATCACTTGAAATACAAATCTTAGCATTATCCAAACCGTCTCTTCACCTAAACCTTTACGACGCCATTTGGATTCGGCAATCACAACTGTAAGTTCGCCAATGCTACCGTTTATGAAGATATTGACATCACCTACTAGCAATCTGGAATAAAATTCTAAAGGATTTTAAATTCAGATTGAAGATCGCAGTACTGCACAAACGTTTTGTCGTCACGATGATTTCATGCAAGGATGCGCTCAAAGTTCACCTCATCAGTGCCACTATCAACTAAATCACGAGCGAGAGTGATAGAGGTGCATTTGTCATCATCTTCGTGCCACCTTGCTTGCATTTCATATTCCTCTTCAAGCGACAAACGCTCTGATGCTGTCAACCTTCGTAATTCCTCATTCTAAACATAAAGCATTCACACCGGACGATATTTTAATTTTTTGAAATTTACAGAAAGAATGCATCATACCTCCATCCAAGTTTTTTTAAGCTTTTCAGTTTCCCATCTTCCATTCTTTTGATAAATGCTACCTCAGAAAAAAATATATTTGTCATGAGCTCCAATAAGCATTGACTGGTTTGATACTTAACAACCTGATGCCTGCGATAAGGTACCAAAAGTACTTTTCTGCCAATCAACTTCGTATATTGGTCTATACGCATAATCAAAATTCTAATAATTAATTTGGAAATTGTCGACGGCCATGCAAGACAAGCCGTAATATACTCTCGAATGGCCGATCCGGGAATTGTCTTTGGCGGGAATGAATGAGCATTGACTGGTTTGAAGGTGTAACTTTGTACTTTCCGTCCCGGTAGTTTCTGGCCGAACTCACTGCTAAAGTTTTTTTAAGCTTTTCAGTTCCCCATCTTCCATTCTTTTGATAAATGCTACCTCAGAAAAAATATATTTCTCATGAGCTGTAATTTGAAACGTGATGACTGCAGAGTAATTCCAAATCATTTTTAAGAATTAATCTAGGATAAAATTGCAACAGTTGAATAATACTTATGGATTTACCTGAGGAGGAGACAGATGCAGATGTAACTGCTGGTGCATCTTTTACTCTTCATGGCAATTTCAGAGGTAAGTTGAAACTTTGTCACTCAAGTATTTCAGGATGCAATAGCACAAGCCTGATGAGACTTTCGAAAAACTTTCATATATTTTGATGTTAGAAGATAGATTGTAATATTGCTATATGAAAGATCTATTGTAATATTATTTGAAATCTTAAATTCTTTTTTTATAATTGCCGTTTTGCACGCTAGATCAAGTCCATTAAAATTGGAATTTATTCTTTTATATTTCCTGAATGTCTCAGTATTTGCTCGTGCAATTTTGGCATTGAATCGTGTTGGCGATGAATTATATATGGAACCGAGTGATTTAGGCGTAAGTTTATTGAAAAGCTCAAAAAAGAAACAAGATGATGGTTGAGATTTTCGGAAATGCAGAATTGTAGTATCGAGGGGATGTAATTGAAATTTTAAAAAGAAGAGTGTCAGTCACTAATTTGCTGCTAAAACATTTCAGCTTATTTTACGATCGTTAAGCTGTTCGAAATCAGCCTTTGGTACTTTTATGTTTGCAAAATCGTTCTTCAGTGAATGTGATGTGTTGAGACTCGATCCGAATGCTTACAATGTGTGTCGAATTCCAATGAAGGTTTTTGTTTGGTTTTTCTGAATAAATGAGCAAGGTGATTTTTCGTAACTCTGGTTTCATTTCCTACAAAATTTATTGTTTTTTATTTTCTTTATAATTTGTTATTTAGTGTGCATTAGCAGCTTTCAAATGTGTGAAAAATTGTGAAAAAGCGGTTCTCTCCTGTCAGCTTTATCTCAATCCTCGGGCCGATACCATGCTTATTCAACTCACACACACATATGGTTTGTTACACATTTATCTTTCCAGAAATATTCAGTGCTGTTCGCATATTTCCCATTTTTGTGGGTCACATCATGCTTCATGCACTGCAAAAACGTAAAAGTTATTTTAGTCATTTGAAGTGTGAATCAAAAAATGATGCTGTTATATCTGGTAATTTTTTATACACTTAGTATTTTCAGATGTTATGAAAAATCACAAAATACCATTCTTCGAGTGTACTACCATGTTTCGAACCGTTGTTGATAAAGCAAATCTGAATAACTGTTTTGTGATAGAAGCAAGGTTATTTACTTTTGATTTACAAAGTTGATATTATGTAAATTTTATACAAATTAGATAGTTTCGAAAAATCTTATTTTGTTAGACTATTGCTCGAAATATTCAATCGAATGAATCACAACACGGATGAGATTTCAATTGATGCTAAAATTGAAGAAATATCATTCCGAAATTATATTACAGACGAGCAAGGTTGTTTTCGATCTATTCTTTTATAGGTTATATTGACTAGTAGTTATATCAGAATAATAAAATGACTCATGTTATTAAAGCCTTTAATTTCCAAAAATTTTCTTTTTTCTTTGAGAGCGAACTACTATTTTGTACGGTATTCAATCAGCTAAGCTCGAGGATTTTTTTCCAGGTTTCCTGACATGCAAAATAATAGAAGACAATTTTCATAATAAATATTAGCATCACATTTTATTTATTTTGTCTAAGTTCCAATCTCATTTAATTCATTTCAGGTTTTAGTTTTATTAGTTCTTTAGTGCTTAATTCATTATGTTTCAGATAAGGATATGGTCATGAAAACAGAAGGGAAAATTCCAATTTCTGAATTTCAGAAATATAATATCCAACGGCCAGCCGAAATTACTGTGAATTTGAAGGAATTAAAAGCTATTGTGAACTTTGCTGATGTTCATCAGTCATTTGTCAGCATTTATTTTGATCAGCCAGGAACGTAGGTTTAAGCCATTTTTTATATCTTTGAACACATAAGGCAAGGCGATGTAAGAGTTAGAGAAGAGAGGAGCAGAAATGAAAATGTAGCTGCTTATTTTGGATGATATTGTATAATAAAAGAAATTTTTAGACCTATAGTAATAGCTTTGGAAGGTGATGTCAATTATACAGCAGAAGTAATACTCGCAACAGCTGTGGATGATCCAAATGACGTAAATCCCGAAGTTCCTGTCGAAGTCATTCATGTCCCACCTGACGAAGGGCAGCTTAAGCGGAAGCGAAGTCAATCTTCGTTAAGTCTGCATATTTCGGAAAATTTGGTGGCAGATTGTGCAAAAAAAATCATTGAGACATCAATTACCAAAAGTAATGATGCGAATGGACCGTTCAATGGATTAGAGAACATGGATTTTGTTATTGGCCCACCATACGCAACGTCTTCTCCCATCATGTGACTTTTTTTGCAATATACTATTTTTAGTTGATTTTTGCAAAGTCGGAAAAAATGTCTGTTAAGTTGAGAGATAATTGCTTTCCGTTCTTCGTTATAGTTTTTCATTGTTTACTAATTTTATCTGATATTTTATAGCGAATTACAATCCGAAAAAAAAGAAGATCGCACAACAGCGGAGAGTCTAAAATTGCAAAATGATGTAATGGACACTGATAACAATGTGATGGAAACTTCAAGAATGAATGCTGATGTTGGTGACATTGGGAGATCTGGATCAGAAAGTCCGCCTTCCCAAGGTCCAGCTGTAAGTTTTTTTACATAACTTCTTTTTACCCTGAGAATCTTTTTTTTTTGCGTAATTCGGATGTTTACTCAAATTATGTGTTTCCCCATTTGCGTAATGTAATATTGTTTGACCATGTTAATTCTTTTTCAGCTATTTCGCTATTTATTTTCACTTGATGAGCCGACATTTGATTCAGCAGAATTTTTCCGCGATGCAGAAGTTTTGGCCTCAGATTCAGGTTCGGAATCTTCAAATCCGCATCCTGAGCAATATATCTTTGATTTTGACTCAGAGGTCAATCCTTAATGACTATTGTTTGCTCATATCATATCTAAAGTTTTCAGAAAAATAATCTCGCATGAAATGCGATTACTTCTTGAACATTTATTTGTAATAAGAAGCAATGTTGTATTATAATTTAACTAATGTTTAAAATTGAGTTTGTTTTGTGAAGCCGTACTTATTCAGCTCGTTCAAAAATAAATGAAAATTCAGGTTCAGTTCCAGTTATTATACTTATCTGATTTTTTCCAAATAGTTTATATCTTCAAATTAGTTGTCTAAACGCTGTATACATTCTACGAAATTTTTCTTCGAAATTCAATCTTTCATGTACTTAAGACTTTTGTACATATGTATAAATGGATCGTTTCGCGATTTGTTCGTTTTTTAATTTTTCATGCAGAATTAATATTCATATTTCCAGTTATTTTGATGTAATGTCTGTCGTATTTTAATAACTTCTTGTTTTACTTTCACTTCACTTACCTCATTTTATCTCATTCCACTATTTCGTATTTTGCTTTGCATAATTAAATTTTCAGAACAAATGAAGAAGTTTTTGAACCAAAGAAGTTTTTTTTGTTGAAAAAGAATGATGAAGCATAAGAAATTTGTTAATTCTCTTCTGGAGCAGTTTTTAAACTAAATTAAATATTTGGATGATTTAGATAGATGTGAATCGTATGGAACAGTTCATATATGATGTGTTACCAATATCATACACTTTATTCTCCTTCAACGATATGCAAAGAAATTACAAGTATGGGGAGTTTTGGTACATGTGTATATATGTGTGTGTATGTGTATGTGTCTATATGTGTAGAATAGATTTAAATTTAAATTCAAAAACTTTTTGGATTTATCGTTCAAGTTCTGTGTCTAGTTCAAATCACTTTTTAATTTCTTTAGCTGAGCTAGAATAGAAACTGCCTTGCTTACAATTTTGTATATTTTCTTCAGTTTATTGAAAAATTTCTCAATTGCTAGCTGTGCCTTAATGGAGAGTATTGACATGGCTTTGAGGTGATGAAAATTATGTTTGGATGCTAAGTGGACTTTTGAGAGTTGGAAAAGTATTTTGCGCCAGTAGTGGTGAATACGATATTCGGCAACTAAGGTTATATAAATTGGATAGAATTTTTGCAAAACCATTTTTTGATTGTTTCTTCTTCAAGGCTGAAAGTAACGTGGAAGAAATTGTTCCATTCCTTAAACACATTTAGACACTTCTGAATTGAAATGAGAAGTCTATGTTAACGGTGGAAATGAACATTGAAGTTCCGATTCTTTGCATTCCTCATAGAACTGTCCAACACAGTTCTCATTTATATGAACATTTCAGTATTCTCCAGAACTTTAGTTGATGTGTGTGCACAATTGATCCTGAGTCATAATTGGTCTATCAGCTGTTATTGGCGTTGTTTTGCTCAGATTAATGAGAAAATTTTGGTGGAAGCACATGCGGAAATCATCCATTATTCAAGATTAAGTCAGAAAAACTCAACAATGTAAGCTATGTGACGACATTTTCTATCTTTTCGAACATTTTAGAGAAGTTGTTTCCATATTAGAACATGATCTTATCAATTTGTCAGGTTAAAGGTTGCTTCCGAAATCTCATCTGCTGTGATCTATCTTTTTTGCTACTTTTGTGCAATGGTTGCTTTCTTGACATTTGATCTAAAATTGTTCAATCAGTAATTACAGTTCTTTAATTTGTTTTATAATATATAATGTGTTCTTGAACGAGTATTTTGTAGGAATAACAGCGTTTGATATACTTTCGCTATTGATGTTGTATACAATAAGGCATCATATCGAAGTCATTCAGTTATTTTAATCCACATGTTGTTAGGCTGTTGATGAAAAACTACACTAACAATTTTTAACAAATCTAGGAAAATAGAAATTTAAAAATACTATAACTTCAGAATGGGTGGATTTTATTTGATTAAAATTTTATTGGGAACTAAAAGGGATAGAGAGGTGGAAAGGAAACTGATGAGCACTTCGAATTTCATTATTAAAACTGAGGAGGTTGTTCAGTGAGGAAATTAAAACAGTGGAATTTACGACTGTTTGCCAATTGATTGAAATAAAAAATTAAGAGAAAAAAAAGAAACAGGTAAGGAAATGCCACTTGAAAATCGCTTTACTTTATTTTTTTTTAAATCTTCCTCACTGAGAAAAGAATTGTTCTCTTCATGGATTTATGTGAGTTAGAATGAATAGCGAAGATTTTGGCTTTATGCTGAGAAAAGAACAGTTCAAATTATCAAAAACTGTGTTGCAGCTGTCATGAAGATCTTATATTTATATTATTTTCAATGTTTGAATAAATTGTGCTGCTATTAAAACAAATTTCCTGGTAATGTTAAAAACTCAGATTCTTTAAAATATATTACAACTAAACTTATGGTTTACCTGTCATCCTATCGATTTTTTAGAAACGAATTAGAAATATGTTGACGGAAATTTTATGCAGTTATTGTTCTTTTAAGATTTTACAGTTTCATAATGTACTTAATGCTACTTAACAATATCGGCGATATGAGGAATCGGATCGTATAGGTACTGCACTCACAAATCGTTAGTGGAGATTGTTTGGTAGGCTTATTTTCTTCTGTCTTCTGTAATTTCCATTTTTACTTTATTTTATTGAGTTTCAAATGAAATGCATGGAAATGTGTTAAGTTTCTTGTCGAGATCTTTGCTCGATACTTAACTTCTACATTCATCTGGTGGAGATATTCATGCGGCCAAAAGATGAAAGCGTTTCACAAGGCAAATGAGTTGATCGCGTTAAATTTAAGTTCCATTGTTTGCGTGTTTACTGCTTTTCTATTTTTTGGTGAAGTGTTGTTTGCTATTTTCCTTTTTTTTGTTTGATGTCTTAACTCACTTGTTAGATTTCATTGGTAAGCTTTGCGAATTAGTTCTTTCTTGCATGCTTTCATTTTTAAAATTTACTTTCTAATTTAAATGCTTTGTATGATAAAAAAGTGAGATTTGCTATTCATGGTTCACATTTTTATCCAAAAAAGATGTTTTGGGATATTGCTAGTATTCATTACCGGACAAATAGATATTTGAAGCAATTTAGTTTGCAATTTTTATTTAATTCTGTGTGGAGGACTATCGGTTTTATGTGATTTTCTTCTCTGTAACTTCGAGACGTCTGGTGCTCCCTTTTTTTTTAATCTAAAAAGTTTCATGGATTTTATGTGGGAATTGTTTAAAGACATGCCATGAGGAATGTAAATGCTCCGTTAAATTCCTTTTTATATTTCTACTTTTCCAGCGAGGAATAGAACAAATGGGAACATTTACTGCATTGGAAAGCTCAAGGTTAAGCGATGAATGGATAATGACATTAAGTTGTTAGCCCTTGTTAGTGAATATTCATAAATTAGTTATGTGTTATTGATTTTTTTGGATGGAGTAGTTCGGTAACTTTTTTTACAGCAATACCGTCATAGTAATTTTCCGATAAATAATTTGAATTAGTTTCTATATTGTCAAATTACAAATAAGGGATATTTTTATGTCAATGTTCTCTTCCATTATGTTTTTTATAAGCTTACATGATGAAATATTGTGGTTGAATTAGAAATGTTAGGTACGAGAATATTTTTCTAGAAAAGAAATACGTTTCTATTCATACAAGTATTTGTCTTCATTTTATGTAGTAAAAAAATTTTAACAGTTGAAAAGTAATGACTTCTCTGATGGATTGTTCTATGGACAAAATATAGATCCATGGATAATGGATTTATGTTAAGGAAAAGGAATGTAGGGACATGAAGAAAATGTATATTTTGCATTCGTTTGAAACTGGATGGACTATATAAGATTTATTTGTCATTTTTATCATATTCTCCGGTAGCCATATTGCATACATTACTCTCTATTGGAAAGAATAATACAATCATATCTTACGTAAGATGGTTGCATTATTTTATTTGAGACTGATCGCTGTTTACATTGCTGTTTTGGAAAGCACTGGAATACGTAAGATTGATCAGTTGTTTCATAACTGCCAGTATTTAAAATAAACATCAAGATTAAACAATTTGAAGAAACTGATTGTTCTATTCCATATGGCGCGTTCTGTAGATTAAACAGTGAAGTGAGCTATTAAATACCGTCATAGTGTATTCCATTGGGTGGTGAGCCATTGGGGACAACCGAATTTCTAGTTAATTCCAGCACCACCGCATTGTACAGAGGTCATTCATTGTAGATTAAGCGATGTGATTTATATGTAAGACATGACTAAATCTAGAAATTTAGTGGTAGCTTTAAAAAACATCTTTAATATGCATTATGAAATGATGGTGCTTATTGTGGTGGTCGTGACAATAACAATAAATCGGATATTATTTTCACCGCCGTTATGACAAATGCAATTATTTGATTCCTTTCCTATAGCTGATAATGAAGTTACGAGAACGCAAAATTTGACCCTTTCTATTCAACATGATTTCATTTTTTTCATTTGATGATAACGTTTCTTTTTAAGATTAACTACTATATGCAGCTATGCAGTTGATTTGTCGTTTTAATCGACTATGTGCTGCAACTCAACTTATGGCTGACGATTAGAACTTAATGCAGTACATGCCTATATCATCGCTGTCACTTATTTTGCTTGCATATCAGTATTGGACAAGAGGAAGGAAAGAAGCAAACAGGGAAATGAATGATTGTGATGTGTCATAACCAGCTGTGCTCCCGAGAGGTTCAATAAACGAATTTTTCAATTTAATACACGGTTAGTTTTAACCAGTCAGCGTAGAGAAGAAAAGAGAGAGGAAAGAGAAGGGTGGGGAACTACTGCAGTCGTGCGATGTGTACAAAGGGGTGATGATGGCATCCATAATTTTCGATATCATCGAAACTAACCCTTTTTCTATCTCTTCCTTCTTCCCCCATTCTTCTTAACATTCTTTTCATGTTCAAACCTACACTTTATCTTTCTCTGATTCCTCCTCATCATCTCATTTGGAGGAAATGTGCTAAAA